ATCATCATTTCAGCCTGTTTGAGTCCACTGCTGAACATAGGCCTCCCCCACAGACTGCCATGAAGTACGATCCTGAGCCACCTGCATCCAAACGCGTTGGTTCCATCTAATTAATGGATATTCAACATTCACCGTGCGGTATTGCTCTATTAAGTCACAGGCGTGATTATTTAGCAATATATTAATAAAATGAATGAAATTTTGCTCTTATATATTTTCCAAACGCGCCAAAAGAATCTTCAAAAATAAAAATAAATATTGGCTGAAAAAAATTTTGGGATTTACAAATAGCTATGTCGAGGCTGGGTCTATGTCCATAACACGGAGATTATTTCGTAGTGTAGTAAGTCCTTTATATAAATTATCAGCGAAACGTCTCGGCTTCGCACGGGTACAATGTATTATACATATAGACCTTCCTGGTGAATCACTCCATCTTGTAAAAAAAAACCGCACCAAGATCCGTTGCGTAATTTTAAAGATCATATACAGGGACAGACAGACAGCGGGACGACTTTGTTTTATACTATGTAGTGACACAGCCTCGTTTATATGTTTGTTGGTCTATAGTTGGTTTTTTAAATTCCAATGACGCTTCCTGTAATATATTGGCTGTTGGACGCAGGTGTACATTGCGGCGCAGCTGCCGCTATTGAGTTTTTGACGTTCGATTGTTACTTCTAATTATGGATCGTAATACGGATTTCTGTACATGGCGGGTTACATGGATTACTAACATGCTAATGCCTTGCCTCGGACCATTCACGATAGATAGATTGCGGTCGAGTTTTCGGGCCATTTGTAATTTTAAGCGCTGATTTTTTATTAATTTGATTGATGACTCGGTGGTTTGCTTAGCTATTGGCTCCGGCGCCGTGGATCGTGGGTTCGTTTTCCACACGGGACAAGTATTTCTGTGAATTCCCACATTTCACCGATAATTGATCCGGACATGTGATTTTGTTTCCCATGGCAAAGATACATGGTCAAAACTATTACAATTAATTCACATGTTGTGGCGACCCCACCTTGGCGGGATGAGGGCAGGAGAATGATGATGAAGCGCTGATTTATCACGTGTTTACCAGTGAAAGAAATATTAATAGTAAAATAGATTGCAAATTAATAGTAAAAAAAGAAATATTAATAGTAAAAAAAAGCAAATTCTGCCAAGGGACGATTCGAATCCCGCCAAGTTGACTGTGTCCTAATGCAGAAGCCTTTGTTCCGTTGTTTCTTTTTTACTTTCTGCTCGTATTTTTGTTTACCCCTAATAAAGCGATGAGCACATTTTTGACTGGGGATATTAAATATCATAATAGAACCGGTTGCCATTAGATATGTATGAATATTTTAGATGAATGTAAGTGAAATGAGATTAAAAACAAATTAAACAGTAGTACAGTTTGGAATTGGGACATCTTGCAACGTTTGCCAAGCCGGTCAGTTGCCGATTTGGCAAAAGCCCGGCGGAATTCAAGACCTCTGAAGACTTATTCATGGCGATTTGGGTAAATCTATCGTAACAATGGAATCCGATTAAAATAAGTGCTTAGCGCTCTAAATACTGTTAGGTTAGCTATGTAAATTAATTTCAATTTCTATGTTTGAACGAGACCACAATTTCGAAATTCTCAACAGATTAACGTAGACTAAACCCAACAGCGGATTATTTAGATAGTTTCCAAACGTGACACTTGTCACGCGAAGAATTCTCGGAGTTATATATATCGAGTGTCACATCGGCTCACACGCGTAGGAAACTTGTCTGCCCTTAGTGTCGTTCATTCGTTTGCGTATCGAGTCAATCCAGTCAGGCAATTAATAACTATCGCGTCGACGGATGTCCATACTTAGATTTCTGACACCCTTCAACCCGGCGTAGGCAGATATCGACGTGTCGCATATAGTACCTACTTAAATTGTTATTAACAGTTAGAGGCATACGGGATAAGGTAAAATGTTTGTGTTGTTACGACAAATGTGCGCAAGAAACTTAGTCAGTTCCATAAAATGAGCAAAATTTTCGTTTTTCCAATAACTTTATATTCCTAAATCCTCGATATGAATGACAATTAAATCTCAAAGAATCATAAGTCTTCTAAAATTACTTAAATTTTTAGGAAACTGAACTGGGTTTGGTTTTACTGGATGTAAATTATATGAAACATGAATTTTCAAACCGATAAAAATATTACTTACTATCGTAGATCGTACTTTGAAAAGAGGTCTTTGTTTTTAATTTTGGTATTTTTCTGTGCAGCAACTATAAGGATATTTATCAGAGCTTTTAAATTAAAGACGGCGAACTCGAAAATATTAACTCTTGATGTCAAAAAAGGGTACTTCTAAGCGAATTAAAATAAAAGTTAAGCAGAAGAGCATTTGATTTATGTTCCCATCAGGAATGCACAACACATTAATTCCAAGACTTCTGTTAATTCCCGCGTTATCTAAATTAATGTCGGGCGTCAATCTTTAACGGAACGTTTTCGGGAAGAAATAACTAGCACTCAATGAATGCTCAAACCATAATAAAAGTACCAAGTGCCGCTGAATAAAATTTAATAGATCACTTATATTCCTGCATCCCTTTATTAAAACGTGTTGAAGCTACTTGAACATGCGCAGAACTATCTCGTATCATGTTTATTCACGTCAAGACCTCATCAGCCCTCACTTTATATGCTGAGGGCTAAAGTTTTCGCGATTCAATTAAAGAACATCAACTACTACTTTAACTTTTTTAAATGTAAACTAGCTAGTTTACATTAAAATGCCAGCTGGCTTGCCCGGCATCGTGCGGTAGATAGTTCTAAATTGCGTTCATTTAATGTCAACGTTGCAATATAAGTTTAATGTGTTAAAGTGTGTTTATAAATCATGATGTGACACTGACACGTCATAGAGTAACGCACAATGATTTACCAATATTTAAGTTTCTATGCAATCTTTTTTCTTTTTTTTAATGTGCAAAATTGCCAAGCGAGCAGACGGTTTACCTGATGTTAAGTGAATACCGCCGCCCATGGACTTCTGCTACACTCGAGGGTTCCAGATTCGTTGGCAACCTTTTGAAAATAGGGCTCCGGCTATCTCACTGAGCAGACGAAACGCGAAAATATTATACTTCCAATTTACGCCGGTCTTCTGTGAGGCTGTGGTACTTACCCGGACGGGCCTGCCCATTCGTGCAACAGCCGAGGCTGCTGCGTGGCCCTACCACCGTAAGAATATCTGATGAATATTGTGAAATAGCAATGTAAACTTTGTATTGATCCAGAAATCGGTAAATACCTGTGCCTTTGCCCTATTCAACCTATCAGATATTTCTCACCTGCGTTTTTACTATACAAGGTAGACCATCGATAAAGTGGAGCTTTCAAGTATATACAACCTCAGCCAAAACGTAGGCCGGCGCGTTCGTACGGAATTAACTCCAGAGCCGTGCACTTGACTCATCCCGAGATATATTTGGAGCGGCCGTGCATCAATATCTACTACGATTTTAGCTGTCCGATTCTGAAAAGGGGTGGGACATATGAGGCTGGTCCTACTCAGGAACGATTTGCTACAAGCGCATGCCGTTAAGTTTTCTTCGAGGTTAAAACACACTGCCCAGTGCTTGAGTACCGACATACTGCGAAAGTCCACACGTCACCTCTATGGTCCGGTGGCAGTCTCGGCACGGGTACACCACACGACGGTGCGACAAGTAGGCCCCGATGATGCTGCGCAGAGAGAGGCACTCCATGGAACCAGTTGAAGGCGATAGCGATGTCGAGAGACACGGCCTAGACAACCTCACCCCGGGAAACCGTCTCCTGCGCGCGGGAGCCCACTCACACAATACCGCATGGATGACCGGCTTCTGCGGAACCCAAGCTGTCTGTCTGCCAAGTTCGGGCCGACGATGCGACCCGCTATCAATATTATGCCTACATCGCCGAGAAGCACGATCGGCCGATAGGCAGACGGGGAGTCAGCTGGACGCCCTTCCTTCGGCATGAGGACGAGGCTGACTGATGTTTTGCTGCACCTACCATAATCTCTCACCACATCCTGGGGTGGCTAGTAGAGAATGCCTTTGTGCATTAAGTCCGCCCTTTGTTGGGTTGACAATAAAGATTTAATAAAAAAAGTGTAAAATAATGTAGGTTCTAACCCTGAACCCCTCGCAAGTAGGTTTTACAATTAATACTTTGGCTCCAGTTGACAGTGACATTCTTACGTCTTACGCCTCAGTCCGTAACTATCATCATTCATTCTCACCGTCCGTTTGACACATTGAGAACTTTGGGTCTATACTGATTGATAACTTTTGTCACTCACGATAATCAATTAGACAATTACCTATGTCCTTAATTTCACTCTCATCGATAAAATCACTGAATCGCGAACCCTTGAGATTCCTAATGGTGTGCTTTGGGAATTGCTTCTGAATGGAAAAAAAATAATACACTGATACACAGCTTTATAAATAAGTAGATTTGTGGGGCATTAGCGCGAACGCTAAAGCGACGGAGAATATGGGATAACGTTCACAACTATAGTATATATACATTTCTATATAATCGAGTCTGAAATAATCAAGACTCGCCGCTCAGACGGCTAGAAGCGTGCGCGCCGCACGTCTCCGATTTAAGAACGGAAAATTGTAAAAAGAATAGTGCGCGCGTGTGTCTGTACTCAAAAAGTCTTCAGAAAATGAAACAATTAAATGAAATTAGATTTCTTTCGTTGCGTGAAAGATAAGAACATAAAAAAATAGTGTTCGATCAGGAATATACTATAATGTGAAATGTGTTTATATAATCGTTTATTACACATGACTGTGACCGACCACGAACTGTCTAGTGCTAATGATAGTGAGGTTTAGGCTCGCTTTTATTAATTCGTACTGGTGATGCATCATACAATAATCGGGTGTTGTGTAGTGAGTGAGCGCAGACGGTGGTTTTACGGCTATATTTGCGTTCCGAAAACAAATAATGGTGGCAATGGTCAGCGTTCTACAAAGACCGACCGATAACTATTTCGCGTCGTTTTTGCCCGTGAGTAGGGTATGTATCTAGATGTATGTAACTATACGACTGAAAGATCTAAATTTCAGATGATTGCACATGATTGTTCGTTTGCTGTAAGTTCATTTTCTTCACAGGACATGTATACCTGTTGATATTAACATAATTGTTCTGGATCTCATTGTTTGTCTGTTCATGTTTATACGTCAATTGTGAATGTATTATATATAGAAAATTCAATTAATTATTAAAATATAAAATATTATTTAACTGTGGTAGGGCCACGCAGCAGCTTCGGCTGTTACATGAATGGGCAGGCTCGTCCGGGTAAGTCCTCACCACGACCTCATAGAAGACCGACGTCAAGTGGAACTATAATTACTTTCGCGTTTCGTCTGGTGAGTGAGGTAGCTGGAGCCCAATTTTCAAAAGGTTGTCAACGTCAAAGGTTGTAACCCTCGGGTGTAGCGGATGTCCATGGGCGGCGTAATTCACTTACCATCAGGTGAACCGTCTGCTCGTTTGGCAACTTTTCACATAAAAAAAAAATACAATTTTTAGACTAAATATTTTTTGAGCAGCTATTTTACGTCAAATGTAGAGAATTTTTATGTCATTATTTCAACAATTATTTATTTAAAAATTATTAAAAAAATATGAACTACAATTTTAAAACATTTACATTTATCAGGCTTTAAGTTGAGACAATTTCAATAAAAATAAAATTGAAAATTAAAACGTATTTAAAATTTCGAGTATCTGAAATAGGTCTAATTATGCGATCCTCAAATACTTAAATTGTCGCTTCTATTCCGCTACTTTGAATCTTCTTCTCGTTCATATATTATGAACAAATAGGTCAACACCAACTTATGTTCTTTATTTGGTCACTCTAAATAAACAAAAATGATACAAACTTACGAACCTCATGTCAAAATATTTGAAGCGCAGCCAAGAAAGCGTCCTTGCGTCTCTTGTAGACAGCAAGACGAAATTATAGTTAGTAAATCTATTTTTTGATTCGATTTACTCTTCACTCTTGTTGAATTTATTTTTGAACGAAATATTATTACTGATGTCTATTTATAAATTTAGAACGGCCATAAAATTAAAGGTTTATTTTTCCCAATTTCAGACTGTCAACTCGCCGCCAGTGCCCCACCGAGACATCACTGGGGCATCGGCATCGACGTACCGGCCCTACGATGAATATTCAACCGTCCAACGCCGCCCCGAGAGGCCCATCCAAACAGAAATAGAAACGGAACGTTCAAAAAAAGATAAAAAGTGGTCTATAGGGAAACTTTTCAGGAGAAAGAAAAAAGAAGAAGAAAGCGGTTCGTCGTCGCAAAGCGATGACGATGTGAGTAGTCGATCCCCGAAAAGAAAGTCTAAGAAGAAAAAGCGACCGCCTCTTGTTAATAATTTTGATCATATTGTGATTAGGGATACGAGAAGGGCCCAAAGTTTGGCCAAACCTAGTTTGCGCGATACGACTGATGATGGGGTATTATCAGATCCATCAGCTGGATTCATTAATTACAGAGCCAAAACTCAGGAGTCGTATGGATTTTCAAAAGAGTCTCTAAGCTTGAGGGATGAATATGCTAGCAAAACGAGAAGAATGGGTAACGAAACACCGTCAAGGAAAACCCGCAAGGGCCGATTGAAAGCTAGGGTTGAGGCACTTAGAAACAGCATGAGGGGCGAATCAAGTAGTGATGAGGAGTCATTAAAGTCTTCTAATTCTTCTTCTATGATTCGATTTCGAAGTGAGGATTCCTTGATGCGTTCCCGTGACAGCTCTTTAAATAAGAAATCTAGAAGTGCAAGAAATGAGAGATATATCAAAAGATTATCACGTGATGAAGAGAATCAGCTTAACAAAGAAGCGGAATTATTGCAACAAGGTTATACAAAAGCTGAAATAGAAATGCTTACCCGAACACCGACTAGTCAAAGCAGCGGATATGGAACATGTAAACGAGAGCCATCAAATAAAACGAAAGCTGACCCATCCCTAGTTAATGAAACCAATAGGCCTTCAAAATCAGAATCAGTGTCATCATTTCCATCTACACAAAGTTATCCATCATCCATAAATTTTAATGCCAAGGTTAATAATGAACACATTAACTACTCTATAAAGTATCCAAATATTAACGTAACGCGAGATTCGCTTTCTTCCTGTAACAACAGAGAGAGAACTATGTCTAACAATTGTGACAATCCAGAGCCAATTATGCACGTTAAATTCCCTTTAGGAAATGTTACTAATGTAAAAAAAGACGAACGAGCTCCGCCAGTACCTCCGCCTAGAGATATGCATAGGAAAGTAACAACACCTCTATCAATGTACTATGAAAATAACCCCATAGTGGCTGATAGAGTGGTTAATAAACAAACACATGGTGTACCTAATAACGACTTTGAAAGAATAATGAGACGAAGCCAAGAAAGATCGATGAGTTATGGACCTAATGGTCTTCGTAGGCCTATTTCAAACTCTGAAGATCATATTGCAATGCAAAACACTGAAAACATGCAAAATGTTTATTATAGAAATGATCAACCTCGCCGACCAGCATCAGTCTCTGCTGAGCCCAATCATTACGGATTTTATATGAACACTCCACCATGGCGAAAAAAGTCCGAGCCACCGACTATCATTAAACCTGAACCTGTTCAGTTAAGGCAGGATTATCTATACTTCGCTGATCAAAGTCCAAGGTCCAGAAGGCCAATAAGCGTTCAAACTGGTCAGAATGGAATTGAGACACAGTATTTATCCGATTCTCAAACTTCGTCTAACATCGCTGGTAGTGTATACAGAAGACCACGGAATGCCTCCGAATTTTGGAAGAAGATAGATGACGCTGAGCGACAAAGACAACAGCAAATGGTATTTCCAAACTCCAGAAGGAATAGTGATTACTCAAGTACCTCTCAACTACATAGAACTTATACTGATCAAAATAAAGTAGTTGGGGGAAACGTTTTTAAAACAGTAAATGTCGATGTTCAAAACAAGAATAAATCTCTCGACACATCGGACGATTCAAAAATATGGAAAGCTACTACTGAGTACAAAAGATCCATTACAGTTGAACCTTCGAATACTGTAACTTCTCCAACCAAAACACACATTCGTCATAAATCAGATACTTTTGTCTCTAACAATATTCAAATACCGTCAGATGATGAAAAAAGTTCAGAACGTCGAAAATCAACAAATCTGGATGATGCTTTAAATGAATTAGAAGCTATTTATAACAGTTTGGGATTAGGAGATGAAGATTTATTGGATAGAGCTGAACGACGAGAGTTAATGACGCCGAAATTTAACGATCAGTTTAATGACTGGAACGGCAATGATAATGAAATACAACTCCGTAGTCAACCAACTACCCCCTTGAGGCGTATCTCGCGCAGGTCCACTTTACCAGACAAATTGCAGGATGACATGGCGTTTAGAAGAATGAATTCGTTTTCTAAAAAGGATAAATCGAATTTACAAGAAGCTCAGGCTCAAATTAGTTATATGTTAGCATCACCAGTTTATGTTCCCTACGCATCAGATGATGATAAACATTCGGAACGTAACGAACCTGATATCGTTTATGACGATGTTGTTTATAGAAACATTAAACAAACAAACAATCGCTTAAAAACGATAGACCCGCAACCGCCTTTTGGTATTCCTGTTGGACCAGTATCTCCAGCTCCACAAAGTGACTATTTGCACGCTACACCTGAAAATAAAGGCAGGTCGCGTTTCATACCAAAAAGATCTCCTGATCTTGTGTCAGATGATTTAGCATACAGAAGTTTGCGGAAAGACAACAAGCATACGCCATTATTCAATAACGAAGATTACATTGGACACGTTAACAATAACCATAGCTATCATGAACTTTTGCATGGAAAAGATTCTAGTGAAAGCATTAAAAAAAAGCGTGCAATTAGATCACTGTCAGCTAATATTTTCACAATGATTCAGAAAGAAATTGACGAAGCATTAAATATAAGCAAAGCACCGGTATTGCAAAAGACACACAGCAACAGTGATGTAATGAGACGCCTTCGTGAAACTTACGAAAATAAAGAAACCAAACAAGACTTTTATCCTCGCAATAAGGTAAAACAACGTAATAATACAGTTAATATATTTGTTAATAACCCTCACGCCACCACCCACCATTTTGCAAAAGACGATTCATTCATTCATAGTGACGATAAATCTTTTGCTAAGGCATCATCATGTGATAAGTCAAAAACTTCATCACCTTCACAAAAATCACCCCAATCATCAAAGCGATCATCGAAAGATGAATTTCAACACGTTCTTAGTATGTTAGCGCAAGAAGCTATGGATACTAGCAACAAACTTGGTGTAGCATTAGCAGAGTTAGATAAAAATCGAAACAACAGCGAAAAAACTTCAGATGTCCAAAACAGACTTTCGGAGAGTAGGTTGAGTTTTTTGAATGAACTGACAAATCGACCACCCAACAACATAGAGACAGAAGAAAAAAACATCAGTGTACTAACAGATAAAGTTAAGGAACAAAATTTAGAGGATGAAAACTCTATTGATAAATGTAAAACATCAAAAGGTAAAAAAACTGAAGACAGTTTGTTTACTATATCGGATCAAATACACAAAGTGGAAGACCAATTAAAATATAGTTTCGAAAAAGATTTGAAACTTAGCGACGAAAGATCAAAACTCGCCAAACATGAAAATACATCTACTGATCCTTCAAAAGTCCAAGAAAATATTGTTGTCGCACAAACCTACTCACGATGTAGTTCCAAAAACAATACAAAATGATGCAAAAAATATAAAAATAAAGGAAAAGCCTTCTAAAAATGATAACGCAACAGAGATTCCTCAAATAAATTCACTTAATCCATTTTTAAACCCTTCTGATAAAATGAAAGAACTAGATGAGATTAATGCTTTTAAGGAACTGAAAGACGGAATATCCGACTTGATCGCAGGGATATCTGAAGTTAACGAGAAGTTGTTTATGTCTAAATTAACAAAAGATGGAGAAGGCAAGGCCAACGAGTTTACATGTAAATCAGAAGCTAGTCAAAATTAAATGAAACAAAAGATAATGATAATAAAAATAAAATTGCTGATAGAGATTCTGCTAATCTATCGATTTATGAAGATGATTTTGATATTAAAAAGGGTGCAGCTGACTCGACCGATTATAATTCATCAGAGGAACTCGCGACAATATTTAAACTAGAAAGCAATGTCAAACCGATGACAAATGGCACCGAATTGAACAATGAGACTGCCAAAAAACCGCGCAACGATTTGGGCTCACCAAAACTCGTAAAGGCAATGAATCAGCACTTAAGAAGGCTTTCTGTGGATGAGGCCGATACTAGTCAAAACAATTCACTGCCATCAGACGTAGTCCCATGGAGGGTCAAGAAGCATTGTAATAGTTCAGAGAAAGAACATAGAGGTACGTTTTCTATTCTCATGCACGATGTTTGGACGTCACTTTAACCATTTTGCATCCCTCCCTCACATTGTTTATTTTCATTACACCGTTTGCGCAAAGGCCGTTGTACATATGCGTATAGAGCGCAAGGCTCAGTTTTGCGCATGCCGCGCTAACCAGTTTTTGTTTTTTATCGTATGCATTGTTTTTGTTGTTTTAGCAAGCGATAATCCGCCGTCAAAGCGAAACTGGCACGACTCAGGCACGTTGATGTTAGCTTGCTCTTACACTCTGATGCTCTCCCAACACCTGGCTGATATGGATTTGCTGACGCTCCTCGGCTTGCTGTTGGCAATGATAACCATCATCGCTATGCTATTAATTTAATATTTACTCAAAAGTTTCCAACGAGACGGTCCTTTCTTACCTTATAATTATGTTTTTCTACTTTGTCATTAATTATTCCGTTTGTTCTATTATTCAAATGTTTATTTTTGTTAAATAAGCAGCTTTTATTACCATTTTATACCAAATCACGTCAAGTGTACTCATTTATATTAAAATATAAAAATGTCTAACTATATATATATATATATATATATATATATATATAATCAACGCTAATATAGGACACAATATGTGTTATTGGGGTCAAAAAATTTAAGTAATTATGTTAAAGAGATAAGAGATTGTTTATATTATGTAACGTTTTAAAAGGCACATTTTCTAATATAATAAAGTTGCTATATATTTTCATTAAATTTTTCTGTGATTATTAATTTCTAAATTTTAAAATTTCGCTTTATTCGCTCCTTATTTGAAGACTTATTCTTATAATAATTTTTAATTTATTTTAATTGTGCCAAAATTTTCGATCAAATAGGTACATATGTAGATTTTGAATGTTTTTTGAAGTTAGTATTGAAATGTTTTCATCGCACGGCGACAACTTTAATTTTTTGCATGTAATTACTTTTTAAGTTTAAACTAAAATAAATATTTTAAAACATATTTAAAGTTTTTTATGCATATATATTATCTTAAAAATAGTGACATGTGAAATGTACATCAAATTTAGACAACGAACGTAACAGCGAAACTTAAATATTTGTCTTAGTAATCTAGATAAAGATTTATTATTAAGTTTATTAGATCATATGTATTGGACAGATATAATTTGTGTGTACATTTGTAAATACTTGCCTTTAAACTAAAATAGTGTTATAATTACTTGTAAAATTAATACACCTATACACTTACATTTATCGCAATTTTATAGAAACTGTTCATTACGAATATCACCTTTGTGTGCCACATCCCGACAATTTTTACAGTACTAATTTTTTGCCTTCTACATTTTAGGTGACAACTGATTGACGTTCTTGATCTCCTTTCGTGACTACCGACCAGTTCTACGAAATTATTTATGTATCACGTACAATTATTTTAACACGAAGCTTGTTTTATTGTATCCAATTATTGTACTGTTATACCTGTACCATTTTAAACTATGTATGTTTATGTAGTAGAGGCTTCCAGTTACACATTAAAAGAGCATTATTTATATGAAAAGGAAAAGTTATAATTTAAATAAAATGTTTCAGTTTAAAGTGTTATTTTATTTGTTAATGTATCTTTCGTTGACAGAAAAATGTCATTATACAACTTGGACCTTTGCTCTTATATAGCTACCATCATACGTTTGATATTCTGTCCGATTACTCCCAACCAACATTGAATAGAGATGAAAGTATTTTAAGACGAAGATTTTAAGATGAAGAAGTTAGTTTTATTTTTTCCTTATTTACTTTACTCTAATCCAATCAAAAAACTTTGTGATTCACCAATCTCAAATCAAAATCATATCGCCAATTTTTCCATTATCTATAATTATAATGAGTATTATTATTGGGTAATTATTTATTACTAGCTTTTCGCCCGGGGCTTCGCTCGCCTTGAAGCCCTTAAAAATATCTTTCTTTACAGTATACATATATTTTAAAGGTTTTTCCAATTAAAAAAATAGCCTATGTCCTTTCTCAGGCTCTAGACTGTGTACCAAATTTCATTTAAGTAAATCGGTTCTGTAGTTTTGGCGTGAAAGCGAGACAGACAGAGTTACTTTCGCATTTATGATATTAGTATGGATTATTCTGGTAATTCCTAAAATGTCCACGAATCTATGGAAATGGATAACAGGGATAGTTTTTTTTTTTAAGTTTTTATTTATCGGCTTATATTGCGAATACATGTTTCATTATAATTCCATATAATGTAAGCGGTGATAGTGTCAGGAAAGGTTAAAATTTGTAAAACATATTTTAATACATTGAAGTCAAAGTCAAAAGTCGAAAAATTCTTATTCAATATAGGATTATTTTAAGCTCTTATTGAACGTCAAAAACTACCACTCATGTCATCTAGTAGGAGTAGCTGAAAGTTTGTCCCTGTGATCAGGGACAAACTTTCAGCTCCATGGTTCTTCAAGGACAACACACATTGAATAAAGCCTTTGGCCTAACTCTTTGCCAACTATTAAAAAAAGGGCCCAGGTTACTTCACTAGATGAAACACGAAAGTATAATCCTCCCACTTTATGTCTAATCTGTGAAGCCTTGGTGCTTCTCCGGACGAGCCTACTAATTCATACAATAGAAGCATCTGCATTGCCCCCTCCATAGTTACACTAAACTATATTTACTTATGTGTAGTGTGCTGGAACTAGCATGTCATACTGAGACATTTATTAGAGTACCATATTACATATCTATAATCTTCCTCTAACCCACGCGAGTCGCGAAACAGTCGCAACCTGATAATGTCGTAATAAATCAAAATAAAATAATTATAGATATTTTACGACATGCCGATTGCGTGATGTCTATACTCTCTGGGAAAAAAATAACAATAGATCTGAAATAATGATTACAGATCACACTCAATCCATATATTCTAGCTAGGTTCCTAATAGGTCCGAACCCTATAGCGTATTAAGAGTACCACCACTAACGATATTTAAGGAGAGCAAACTAAAAGGAAAGCAATATGCAATTTAACCTTGCAAAAATATAATTTTAGAATAAATATCATACACAGGTACCAGACAACGAATACCATTACCAGTAAATAAAAAGTTTGAATGATATAATTTTTTATAGTGCTAGTCCTGCACTAAAGATGAAATTTTATATTCGTCATAGGCCACTAAAATATATCAAAGCCTGGTAATAATGCTTCTTTGTTTAAATTTTTTCTTAAAAATTATAAAACTATGTTACCATAATGGGTTTTGGAGTAGAAAAGATTTAGCATTTAAAAAACCAGAGGGAAACAGCATAAAATTCAATAATGTTATATTCGTCAAGTATATGTATAGCGCCATCTATTAGTTAAGTATCATACTACATTATTCCAGTAGTAATGCCGTTTTAAAACAAATACCCAGTAGATGTCATCATCTTCTAATATCTTTTATGTATGTTACACTTTTTGCTATTTATTCAATCGTGTCACAGTAATAATTATAGTTAATCTATTTATGTTTCTTAATTAAATAAAATCTTGTATGATTTTAGTTAAATAAACTTCAATATATTTTAAGTACTATAATAATTTAATTTTAACAATTAAATGTAAATTTAATTTAACGGTTTCTTTAATAAATAGGTACATACTGGCAGCACTTTCAAAGCTGTCAAATTATTTGCCGTAACAGCCCGTACAAAATGAAATGAATGTTGATTGTGATTGCATCGTGTAACGTGTTGTGAAATTTATTAACGAATAGTATATTAATTTTGTTGTGTCTGTTGACTTTTATATATTTGAGATTAAAAATAGCTGTAGCCTTTACATTATTTTAGTGTTTAGTGTTATACTCTTGTTGATATGTGACTAGCACGTGAAGTTTTAACTGTAATCATAACATCAACCTACTTTGTTCCTGTTGACCTGCCTCTACTGCGGTTTTTTGAAAAGGTAACGGTTTCCAATTTACATATTTTTCAAATTACATACGGTTAATTGATGCATTATAGTTGACAGGAGCGATAACACTATTATCCGGCATTTAACAACGTTGCTTGTATTTTTAAATTTATTTAGTATTTCTAGTCTTTTCTAATTAAAAACATTATGTTATTATGTAATGTTTGTTTAAATAAAACATTTATTTTCATCTATCGCACGTAACCAAATTATAACTTAATTATGTCTTTCTTTTTTTAAATGATATAGAGAGGGAGACTATCGCCTGGTTTCTGAAACACTGATTATCGTAGAAGTTAAATAATCAGGTGTCAAATGGCTTTTAGTATGTTGTTTAGAATGTTAATTTCAATTGATCATTCTGATCAATTCAGAGAGTGTAACCATCATTTTGGCAACTCAAATAACATTTGAAAAGTCATTTGACAGTACATTAGTTAACTTGGCTAATATTCCGAATAGTACGTCTCGTTTTTCAAGCTAAAAAAAAATTTTAATCGATAGAGAAATGTTAATAATTAAATGTTATATAAGTTATAATCAATGAAAACCACCAGATTATGAGGAAAAAATTAACAAAGTTTTTAAATTTCATACAACTGAAATCCGTCATTACTGTGCGTCCATTATTCATTATAGACTATTATTTTAAGTTAAAAACTTACGTTTTCACTTTTTATGTTGTAAGAAGACACAAATACACGGATATATCACAAAAACACAAGTTTCTACTTCATGAACATGTATTATTAACAATTTCTAATATTTAAAATTTGTGACTTAGGGTACACTTAATGTCTCGAATATTAGGTTCAAAATGAGTCACAGATCCAACACAGAGCGATCCGACTCGGATAGGTTAGGTTAGAAGGTTTCCTTGTTAGCCTTCGATGTTAGGCTTTTTTTTATGACCACCCAGAAAACTTTAGTGTAACAGTACTTTTAGTATTTTTAAAGACTATTTTTTAATAATGCGAAGGTTATAATTTGGAAAAGTGTGTGAATTCTTAAATTTATACATGTTGTCAAACACAAAATGGCGGATTTATTTAGTGAAAATAACAAGTTTTAAAAATTTTTTTTTTTATTAAAAGTAAGTGTTTGCCTTGGTTTTCACGTATGTAATATTTAATTATTAACATTTCTCTATCGATTAAAATTTTTTTCTAGCTTGAAAACGAGATGTACTGTTCGGAATTTTTACCGTTAACTTCTGTGATGATAGGTTTTTCAGAATCCGGGCGTAAGAATTTTATGGCTTATTAGCCTTTCCATATTTGCCTTCAATACCTTATATTTCACTCTTCGTAATAAAAGACATTTTACCTAAACTTCAACTAATTTTTAAACCAATACTTTGATTTCAATACCAACACCTTAATTTCTTTAGGAATAAGTCATGACAAGTAATAATAATAATAATAATAAAAAGGCGTAGGGATGTGACGACCCCATCGCCCACCGGCGTAACAGTTCAAGTGACAGAACTGTTGCGTCGGCGCAATCAGTCAGCGCCTTGCCAGTAGGTGTTTGCACCGTGCCTCGGCATAAATGAGGGTGCATAAGCCCGTTTGTGCGTTCGGCCACACTACTGAAAACGGTGCCGGTCTGGGGGCGTCTTCCGTTAAATGACGCCCTAAACTATAATGGATGATGGACTCCCAGAGAATACGCATAGGGCCGCTGCCTGGGGGCCGCCAGGGCACGTCTGGAGCTGGCGCTGGACGTGGCAGCATGCGGGACGCCAGCCGAGTGCGGGGTACTGCACGATCACCCAGCAGTACCTCGCATCCATCATCCCCACCAGTTGGCTTGGTGTCGGCAGGGTCCTCTCGGATCCAGCAATCGGCACCCGCCGCTGGTGGAATACGCCGCTTGCGCTGGACTGAAAAAATGAACAGGAATGCAATGCGGGCGTATCTTGTGAAAAAGCGAAAGGGAGTGAAACTGGAGGGTTTGCGTATCGGGCAAGGATGCATCGCTTTTTTGCTGAGCTGGAGCCATCTATAACCGTCACCGAGCAAAACCTGGCAGACCGAGTTCGGTACATCATGCGCTCAAAAATATTTGATGATACCGAGCTCGAACGACTACGACGTGAGGCTGTTCCCTCACCGGATGAAAATGTAGTGGCTGGGGATACGGCCCCGCAAGCTGCGGACCCTGCAGGGTTACAAGCAGATGCGGAGGCCGCGGTTAACTCCCCGGCTCCTGTAGATTCGTGCGATGATGGAATAGTCGCCCAAGAAATAGAGCAGATGGGAAGCATATTGGAGGAGGCAATTCTGGAGGTGCGCGAAACGCCTCTCGAGAGTCGACCACGTCTCCCCCGCATACCCCTAAGTAAGCGGAGTCGGTCTGTCGTGAGGTCTCTTAACCCGAT